GCTGGGCCCCACACGTCCATGTGGAGAGTCTGCAGAGGAGCAGTGGTCGGCGGAAACGAGGAGGAGTGAGGAGCGGCGCGCTGCCCCCCCTCGATGAAGGGCACGGCGGTGCAAGCGAGCACGGGAGCGGGGGCAGGGACCTAGGGAGTCCAGAGACAAGGAGACGAGAGTGCATGCCACGCAGGCGCGGCAGGGAGGGATGACCAAGACGGTGGTGCCAGAGGAGAGTCTGGTGCGAGAGTAGCCGGTACGAACAAGACGCAGCTAACTGACCCGACGCAGCTACGTGACCCGACGCAGCTACCTGTGCAGACTCAGTGGTCAGTGTGTACAGGCCAGACCCAGGGCTCCGAGTGAACGTGGCGAGGTGCTCGCCAGTGCGTGAGTCCGTACAGATCGCCACAAGCTCACCCCCAGGAGTAGTCACAGTGACAAACTGGTCCTGGATGACAGCGTTACTCACCAAGTTCTTAGAGAACGAGGGGAGGTGGAAACCTGTGAGGGAGCCTGAGGGGGCTGCCGGACACGGGAGAACTGTGGAGGCACGTGCTACAACTGGGCCCCCAGAGGGGTCAGCCAGAGAGACCAAGGACAGGTGCAGTGAGCGGTGTGACTGTGGTGCAGTCACGGAAGAAGCAGCGAGTCGCGCCTGAGTCAAGCGTGAACGTGTGCAAAGCCTCTACAGAAACTGCACCTGTGCTATCAGGCTCACATGCACCTAGACTAGTAGCCTCTGCACTACGAGGGACACGTCGCTGAGAAACCCACTCGCGAAGTTGCTGCGGTGAAAGGGTCTCCTGCTGACGCTGCCGCCGCTGCTGTCCAGTACCTCCAGCACCATAACCTCCACCACCAGGACGGCCTCGCTGAATAACCCACTCACGAAGCTGCTGTGGCGAGAGAGTCTCCTGGCGACGAGACTGCCGCTACTGTCCAGTACCGCCAGCACGCATGAAATCCCAAGCTCAAGGACCAGAGCGGCCTCGCCGAGCAACCCACTCGCGAAGCTGCTGCGGCGATAGAGTCTCCGGCTGACACTGCGCCGCCAGACGCTGCTACGACTGTGGTAGCGGCCATGATAGGCAGTGGCAGTCAGTAGCAGCGGCGCAAGGGCGTCAGAAGTGACCGCTGTGGTTGCAGCTGTAGTAGTAGCGGTAGTCGTTGTAGTGGCAGGGCAGCGCACGGGCTGCAGGGCAGGGCAGCAGGGCAGTGCAACGCGCGGGCTGCAGCGCTGGGCGGCGCGCGGGCTGTAGGGCAGGGCAGCGCGCGGGCTGCAGGGCAGGGCAGCGTGCGGGCTGCAGAGCAGGGAGGCGCGCGGGCTGCAAGGCAGGGCGGCGCGCGGACGCAGGGCAGTGGGGCGCGGGTAGCAGGGCAGGGCGGCGCGCGGACTGCAGGGCAGCGGGGCGCGGGCAGCAGGGCAGGGCGCGCGTAGGCAGCGCGCGTGTGGGCAGGGCGCGCGTAGGCAGCGCGCGTGCGGGCAGAGCGCGCGTGGGCAGCACGCGTGCGGGTAGGGCGCACGTAGGCAGCGCGCATGCGGGCAGAGCGCGCGTGGGCAGCGCGCGTGCGGGCAGGGCGCAAGCTGCGCGCTTGCGTGGCGCAGGTCGCGCGCGGCGAGCAGGGCAGCGCGCGGCGAGCAGGGCAGCGCGCGGCGAGCAGGGCAGCGCGCAGCGAGCAGGGCAGCGCGCGGCGAGCAGGGCAGAGCGCGGCGAGCAGGGCAGCGCACGGCGAGCAGGGCAGCGTGCGGCGAGCAGGGCAGCGCGCGGCGAGCAGGACAGCGCGAGGCGAGCAGGGCAGCGCGCGGCGAGCAGGGCAGTACGGGCAGCAGCGCAGCACGCGCAGCAGCAGGGCAGCGCGCGGCGGGACAGCGCGGGGCAGGGCAGCACGATAGCACTGGGCAGGGCAGGGCAGCAGCGCGCAGCGAGCAGGGCAGCGCGCGACGGCAGCAGCTCCTGGGGCAGTATGTACGGTTGGTGGGCCCTAACTGAGCGGTCCTACGGAGGGACCTGCTCTGAATACCATATCAGAAATAGAACGTAGGAATGATTGACTAGTAGGGAAGAATGAGTACAAGTACTAGGAATGACCTAAAGTGTTGTACTCCTTAGAGTATGCCCCACTACAGCCTAGAGCTAACAAATGCAATTTGACAAGGAGGAGCTCAGCAGGAGGGGAGCAGCCTAGATGGCGCGGCGCAACGGAGCCGAGAGCAGTGTCCCGGCCTGGGTGGAGGCGCAAAAAAAGCCGCGCCCACGATCGGATACAAACTGGAAACGAGCAGCCGAGGGGAGGGAGCGGGTGTAGAGCCGGCGAGCACACCTGCGAAGTGGGTACGCACATGCGCTATGGTCATACACTGTTGCAACGCTGGTAGGCCGCTCTGTTGCAGCGTTGGCAAGCCGCCGCGGTGCGGCGCTGGCAGGTCGCCGACTTGCAGTGCGGGCAAGCCGCCATCGAGCTGCGTTTTAAAATAGCTTCATAACTTAGAACAAGTGGTCTAGGGTTTAGGCTAGGCAAGAGAGATACCAAGCCAAAGAAGGGGTGCACTAAAGGGCCAAAGGCCCAAGTTATACAAGAAACAAAGCAAGAAGAGGTGCACCACCAACAGGAAAGCATGATAATTACACTACAACTACACTGCACATAGTTACGCAAAATATATATAAATATATATTTCGACACTGCGTTGGCAGGCCGCCGAAATGCTGCGTTGGCAGGCTGCTTACTTGCTGCGCTGGCGGTTTACCTGCCTGTTTGCTAGGTTGCCTTGCATCTAATGTATTCATTGTTGCAATCCCCAATTCCTATCATTGTATCCAACTTTTGTTAGTGAAACTCTAGCCGAGTTGCCCCGTGAATGCGCAAGTAGTGAAAACACAACCAACGCTACGATCACTCGTACCACCCGTGCCTTCCCCGTAATCTAGCTCCCACCGATGTAGAGTGACTCTCCACAGATTGATGTTGCAGGCTCACGACCACCCTCGCAGCCTCCCCCCCACGTCGTCAGCCGCGGGCGCAGCAGGCGCATGCGCGGCAGGTGCGGCTGTGGGAGGGCGTGACGGGGCGGCTGCTGGGGCATAGCGAGGCCATGTCTGGGGCGATGGCTGGCACTGCAGGCTCACTACTGCCACCCCCTCAACCTCCCCCCCCACAACAGCAAGCATGCCAGGGCGGCAGGTCGGGCGACGGTTGGTGCTGCGGGCTTACTGCCGCCACCCTCTCCCCTTCGGGCGCCACCCTCGCCTGACCCCCCCGCACGGCAGGAGCCGCGGCTGGGTGCGCGACGGGGTCGCGCTGGGTCGCGACGGAGGGCATTACGGGGCCGCGGCTGGGGCGGCGGTCGGGGTGCGACGGGGTGCACGGCTGAGGCGCCGTGTCAGAATCCCAGCCACTAACCAAATGGATTTGTCTAGCGGATAAGTGTGCCCATATAACCCCCCAGGCTAACATGCATGTAACCCTTCCCTACGATCAATAGGGGATCTCCAGTGCACCTCCGACAGCGCGACGGGGCGCTCGAAGTGGGCGCGACGAAAAAAATAGCGCGCCCGACGGACAGGCCACGCACGACGCATAGCAGCAAAACTCGCTCCATTTGAAAACAGTGGCATAGCAGCAGGCCCTATGATAGGAACTTAGGCTCTCGATGTCAAAATGTTGTTTTACCGTACCTGTTTCTTAGAATTGTAGCCTACAGTGGGGTTCAGAGTAGGGGGTACAGTACTCTCTAGACACTTGCCTTGTACTCCCCTTTCCCTTACTACCAACACATTCCGCTAGCATACCATGGCTCTGTTCTGCAGGCACATGCCTTGGGGGGGAGGAGGGGGGGCGAGAGTAAATGACGAGGGTTCCGGGGCAGTTTCCCTGTCGAAATCACCCCCACCCCGCTACAACCGAAAGCGGGAAACTTCGGGAGCAGGGGCGGAAGGTGCCGACGGTAAATGACGCATTTACCTGCTCAATTTCGCGCCCCATAGGCAGGGGTACATCGAATCGCGCAAACCTAAAGAGGAGGGTAAAATTTTGCACCAGGGGGTTCAGCGCAAGAATTGTGAGAGAATTGTGAGTGGCAGGCTAGGGTTTTCTGTTCGAGCAAGATGGTTGGGTTTTTTTTTCATCGAGCGGGTTGTGCTTCTCTGGGTGGGTGGCGCAGCCTTTGTGGTTGTCTTTCTGGGGTAGGAGGTGGGTGTCCCCACCCCTTGTACATCCCTCCCATGTCACTCGCCCTGCCCTGAAAAAGCGGGTTTCGTAGGGCGGGGCGAGTGACTTGACTTTTGCCAGAGAAGGAAGGTGGGGAGGGGAAGTTGGTAGCTTCCGATGGGCCAAACTCCACGAGGGTAAATGGCTGTTCTGCAGCCATTTTCCCCCGAACAGGTTCGGGGGGGAAATGGCTGGCTCGGCAACGTTTTGCGGGCTGACCGCCTTCCGAACCAAAAAACGCAGTGGGGGGAAGCTACCTATTTCCCCTCGCACCCCCACCGCCAGGGCCTACAGAACAGAGCCCATGTTGAAGTTAGGTTTTAGGAGCTAGGAAGAGGAAAATTGCAAAGGTGTGAATATCGAGAGGAGAAGTACAAGCAGGGGCAAAAGCAATTTGGGTGCACCACCTATAGTAGGATCCACAACAGCTACACTAGATTTATGGAGCAAGTAGTAAACATAAAATTACAATTTTAACACCTGTGCCAGTGGCGGCATAGATGTCAGACAGAATGTGGTTATCAGATGCCCTTGGTGCCTATGTAGTGCAAAGCAGTAACTAGCATTCTTGCCCCGCACTGGCAGGCCTGATCCGTGAAGCAATAGTGTGTTGTATAAGTAGAGCTGCTTCTTGAATCTTGCCATTCTGAGCTGATGGACCTGATATCTTTATAACGAACTTTATAACGCCTGGTGTGACTGTTTCAGTCACAGATGGACTGCCTCACTAAACTTGAGATGTGCATTGGTGGGCCAAGAAGGAAACAATGGGTATTGCACGATGTCCCACACAGCATCTAAGGGATGCTGTGCTCACTGATGGAGACCAGCTCCACTTCGAACTCAATAATTTGCTCAGCCAGAGGATGGTTTGCATCAATCACAACAAAGTCCTTGCCAACCTGCAAGAAAGAATAAAGCAACTCATTGTCATACTCACAAAAACTGTGGCAATTAGGTCTGTGGATAATGTGATGGCTGGTAAATGATAACTATGGGCTGGTGGAAGAAGGAACTCACCTCTAGAATCTCAGCAGGGCCGCCGTTCGCAAGCACAACAACAGCTCCCGCTTTGAGCTCTCCTCCTTGCTCTTTCGTGAGTCTCTGAATCTCCTCATGGTCCTTGGGTACTCGGAAGATCATTTCATCGGTCTTTGCCATTGGTGCTGACTGTACTGTGCGGCTTTGGCCAACTGCCAATCCCTTCACGGCCTCATCAAAACCCTGTTGTCACGTAAACACAAACAACCCTGAGTACCCTCCGGATGTGACTGCCTAGATGCTGGACCTTAGGAAATGATTCATTGAATGTCACCTTGAAGAGAGGATTTCCAACGAAGTTCCCAGCACCAACTTCAAAGGTCAACACATCATCATTGCCAGATGCATGAAGCACCTGCGTTCATTACACAATCATGATGAGGCTCTGGTGAAAGCGTTAACGATAACATACTGCGATGAGGGAAACGGAAACGAGCTTGAGCACGAACCTCACCATCCAGTGTCTTGCACACGAATTTCACATTCACCATGTCTCCCTCCCGTGCTACCGTTTCGCCTGGCACAGATGCTATGCGCGGGGCAAACGGGAATGTCAAGGCGCAGCTTATAAGCGACCAGTCACAGAGGCCAATACTTCCCTATTCCAGTTTTCGACTGCACATCATGCTGTTCACGTGTTCACTCTGGCTGGTAAAGCTGCGTACTTTTATTTCAGGCATTCAGTCGTAGTTTGGATTCAGGCATTTGGTCGGGTTATACTCACCGCCGTCGCGAAAAGATGCCCTCGCGCCAGTGCTCCTCCTCAACATTGTTCTGACAGCTCGAGGCTGAGCCTGAAGTGGTGCTGTCCGTGCAGCATGCCTGCTAATGCAACAGCTGGACTGAATGCTTAGCAAGCTTATCCTAGAAGCAGCAACTAACACCATAGAAGCTTGGCATTGCAAGGTCGTCATGATGACGATCGCTACCTAGAAGAGCCGATCAGAGAGCCTCGCTCGGAGCAACCGAAGAAACTCAATCCGGCAATGTCTCAGACAAGGAAAACTTACTAAAGATTCAGGTATTCTCTGGAGAATATTTCGACTGCAAGGTTGAAACATTCGGCATTGAACAATCAGTAGTGACGAACTTTTCGTGGGCTGATCAGTTCAGATGAATGTGTCAGGTACAGAAAGGTGAGTGTACCGTGGAGCTGGTCTGGAGGGGGATGTTATAGGGTAATTACCTTCTGGGTAACTCACATCGAGCCCGCTGACGTCAAAAGTCACCTACGTGGCTCGATGGTACCCGTCAGATCATGCGCGCCCCTTCGTGGTACCCATCTTCCCTCCGTGGTACCCATCTTCCCTGCGTGGTACCCATCAAACTGTGTGCGAATTCCCTGACTGGTACCGCAACATTTCAACCGAGCTGTACACCGTACACCAAGGGTTTCAATGCGTTTTTCAGTATATTGTCTTAACGTTTACAAGCTCAATAGAGTCAGAAGCCCGAAGTGCCACCTAATCGAGTCAATTTATCACACGCATTACCTATAATAGAGTGCAGAAGAAAAGCTGGATTCTTAAATAAAAACATTCATTGTGTAGATTTGTTTAGGCTAAGAAACATCGACAATATAACGTGCTATAAGATAACGTAAAACTGATATATTGCATCAACCGAAAAAAAACATCCGTATAGCAAACAATCAACTTACACGTTAAGTATATATTGACTTAAGGTACATTTAATTTTCATTATGGGTATTGTTTTGTTTCCAAAAACCATACTTATTTATTTTTTATGATTTTATGTTTATCTTTAGGGGTGCATGCTCAATTTATTTGCATACAACCTTATAAAGTTTGTTCAAATAACCGACTGAGCGCTGCGAAACATGGTCGCAAGATTCACTCTACCTATCGTTCAGTGGTGTGAGCTTACGAAGGTTCGGAGTTAATGTGAGGATTTTAGAAGAGGAGTTGATTTCTTTCTATGTTGCACTCTGTCCAGTGTAAGGCACGTTCAAACATTTATGTTCAAGGGTATTAATGTTCAATTAGAGTGTGTAAACGTTGTTATAATACGCATTGAAACCCTTGTTGTACTGAAAAACGCATTGAAACCCTTGTTGTACAGTGTACAGCTCAGTTTAAATGTTGCGGTACCAGTCAGGGAATTCGCGCACAGTTGATGGGTACCACGCAGGGAAGATGGGTACCACGGAGGGAAGATGGGTACCACGAAGGGGCGCGCATGATCTGACGGGTACCATCGAGCCACGTAGGTGACTTTTGACGTCAGCGGCTTCGATGTTGGTTACCCAGAAGGTAATTACCCACAAACGGCAGGATGCTACTCCACGTGATGAATCGGACGGCGTTCACTTCCAACAATCGCCGCTTTCTGAACACGTGGCGGAAGGTGAAGAGCCCGATTTCTTTCGAGTTGCCGATTTCTGCCAAGCAGGCAACTGCGAAAGAAGTTACCATGTTCGTTCGAGTGAATGCGTTTCGCAAGCTCAGCGCAACTTCACTCCCTCGAGACAGTCCTGCCAGGCGCCTAGAATTGGGTCATTCAGGGGGTAGAATTCCAGCCAAACTGGCGACATATTCCAGGGCGGCCAGTGCAGGCATCAACATTATTCGTGTCAGCTAGAGAGCTAGGGCCCGTTATTCCACGACACAGGAGACAGTCTGTAGTAGTAAATTTCTCAGATTAGAGTGCGCTTGACGTGGATAGGGCGCAACAGCGACACTAGTGTCCCATTTTCTCGCGACCTCTCCCGGCTCACTTCAATTGCTGCTGCCATCCTATTCACCGGGAGCTCGCATTCTCGCTCGACCTCGGTTACAATGGCGCAAACCACAATTGCCTCGCTTCCAGCCGCTCCCCCCGCGCAGCTGGCGCGCAGCGGTGCCGTTCGGCTGAGTAGCCACGCTACTTTCAGCCTAGCTCCAGCGCGGCGCCTTCTTTCAACGCGCAAGGCCATTACCTCCAGCTGTAGGACCAATCAGAGCATTTCCGTACGATCAGCGTCCTCTAACCCTGCGGACACCTTCGGTCGACCTGGTGGCAACCAGACAGGCAACGACCCGAATTCCGCTTCCTCACCGACCCATGAAGACGGACCTTCCCCTGCGCCTCCAGCCGCATCCTCACCTCCGTCAGCTCCGTCAGCGTCGTCAACTCCGTCAACTTCGTCAATCCCGTCAACTCCGTCAGCCCCGTCGTCGAAGCCATCCTCACTGCTCGGCCTGGTTCTGTCCGCGGGCCCGCCAGGATCGTGGGACACCAGCGGCGTGGGGAAGGCCGTCGTACGCCGCTTCGCGAGCGACAACGAGGAGCGCTGGTTCATGTGGTACGAGGGGTGGACCCATGATGACACGTCAGCAGAAAGCAGTGATCCGGGGGGCGATCGTACGGATGGCGAGCAGGTAAAGGAGAATTCAACGTCTCCGCCTGCTCCCGTTCCCCCTGTCTCCCGCGCGCGGACCGGGGTGGCGGTTTCCGCCAACGGGCTGCACTGGAGCCGCGGAAGCGGCGTGGCGGAAACTGACGCCAAGGGACGTGGCGGGCCAGGAATGGTCCTTCAGCCGAGCGCTAACTGGTGGAACTTCGACACACGCCACGTCAGCGTGTCTGACGTCATGATGATGTCATCACAGAAAGTCCGCGCGAGCGGCGGCGTTCTGTGGATGTTTTACGTCGGGGGAAACGCGGAGGAACTTCCCATCCCCGCGCGAATCCTCCCCCAGCTTCCCCCGCGCCTCGCCCCCGCTATAGCCACACCAACCACTGGAGCACCGCCCGCTGCGCGTGACTTTACCGAGGGGGAGATCGTCGAGGGGCTTCGGACGCGCATCGGCCTGGCGATGAGCCACGACGGGCGGAACTGGGCGCGCATCGAGGGGGATCACCACAGCGGCGCGGCGCTGGACGTGGGCGCGGAAGGCGAGTGGGACGAGCTGTTTCACGGCGCGCCGCAGATCGTCTTCCACGAAGCCGGGGATATCCGGCTCTTCTATCACTCCCTCGATAGATCCGCCAAGGGGGAAAAGAAGGGGGACAATACAAGCGAGACGAGCGAGGCGAGCAAGGGGAAGTTCAGGGTGGGGTTTGCGCGGTCGCGGGATGGGTTGAAATGGGTGAAATTCGGGCCGGTGTTTTCCGGGAGCAATGGAAAATACGCGTTTGACGCGCTCGGGGTGACGTCGCGGTATGTGCTCCGCGACCCGCGCGCTTCAGCAGGGGGAAGCGGAGAGGGAAGCGGAGAGGGGAAAGGCGGGAAGGAGGATGCGCGCAAGTACGTGATGCTGTATGAAGGCGTCGCCGCGGACGGATCGACAGCCATAGGGCTCGCGGAATCGGAAGATGGGATGAGCGGATGGAAATGCCTGGGACCTGTGTTTGAGCCAGCCAGAGGAGCCAGGGGGGAGGCGGAAGGGGAGGGGGTGGGGAGCGGAGCGGGGAAGGATGGGGGGAAATCGGGCGCGTGGGATTCATGGTCGGTGGGATCGCCGTGTTTGGTGGATTTGGGCGGCGGACATCTGCGGCTGTACTATGTGGGGTCGGATGGGCGGGGGTTTCAAGGAGTTGGGGCGGCTGAGTCGCTGGATGGGAGCTTTGAGTTCGAGAGGTGCGCTAATCTCGAGGCTCTCTTGTAGGGTCGCAGTGGCTTGGGGGGTGGTGCAAGGAAAAGGCTCTCTTGCTTTCTTAGGACATACGGTACGGTACCTTGCAATGCGTGGTGAGAAGTTATTCTAGCACATCAGGAGAGCATTTGTTGAAAGAAGATATTCTAGCACCAGATTTAAAACCGAAACGCAAAATAGTGAACCCAACGCCAGCTTGAAAGAGGGCTTGCCGTGCGAAACAATTTTCGAACCAAACCGACAAGCATCCAGTGTTTCATTGAGAGCGTTTTTGGCAGTTCGAACACATCTGATTGGTTCCCGCCAAAACCAAAAGAAGGAACACAGCACGTCAGGCGTCGCATATCAGTTTAGCTGCTGGCTTTAAGCAATCATGCAAGGGCAGCAAAGGTAGTCAGTGCAATCAGAGGGTTCAGTAGAGGTGAAACAGTTTGGGGGTAGTGCCAGCATTCATCTATGCAGGATACCTACTGGCACTACTTGGCGTTTCTGTGTCTGGTCGGTCGATCAGAGTCCATGCCAATGCTTGCCATGCAACCCCTCCCGTTTTCAATAACAATGAATGCAGTAGCATAGCAGCAAATAGAACATACCGAATACACTACACAAAGGCATTGCAGCACAGCAAAGCACGCGCTCGTGAAGCAGCAAGAACCTGTTGGGCTGAGAAAAGCCCTTAGGATCTTTGCAGGGATGAACTCTGAGTGGGACTGATGTAATAGCGGAAGCGTTTTAATGAAGTATTGTGAACCACCTTGCGCTAGTATGTGAGGGCAAAGTAGATTGATTAAGGCAAAGAGATACAAGATTATATAAGAGTACAAGGAATACGAAAGGATACGGTTGCAACTACTTTACTGTTTGCTGTTGCGGTTCGATACAGTGACGACTCGGGCAACTGCTCTGTAGCGAGTCAGTTGTGTGTCCTTGCTGTCGCGCTGTACTCTGTCAGGTCAAAGGTCGCTGACCTTTGACTTTCGCGTAACCTCCAGCGGTTACTTCAACCTCTGAGGGTTGACTCGCTGGTGCCTCGATATGCTTTGCTTCGCTTGTGTCTTGGTGTTTCGACACGACAGAGGCGCTTAAGACTGATTGTTTCCAACAGAACCAAGTACATAGCCTACCCAACATAATATACCATGTGATAGCTTAGCACTACAAGACCAGAGCAAGAGGCATGCTCAAGCAGCCGCAGCTATCAACCCAACCCAAACCAAGCTACAAAATAAATAGGTTCACTTAACTATCGCCAACCCCTCAACAGCTAGAGTAGGATTGCAATCCCAACAACCGCAACGGTTACCAGCAGAGCAGCACGGGACCCGTGCAATGCTGCTGCTCCTGCTGCTCCTTTACCACCCCCAGCATTGCTGCTCCCAGAGCCAGCACCGGTATCAGTGCCGGTGGTGGTGGCGGCGGTGGCGGCAGTGGCAGTGGCGGTGGTAGTGCCGGTGGTGGTGGTGGTGTTGGTGGTGCAATTGGTGGGTGGTGCAAGTGGGTCTGGGATGGTGTTGATGGGTACTGAGATGCTCTCTGAGGGAATGTCGGCGAGTGAAAGCGCGGTGCTGTGGAGCATATGGGTCCATGGGAACATGAGAATATGGGAACATGGGAACATGGGAACATGGGAACATGGGAACATGGGATCATGGGAACATGGGATCATGGGAACACGAGAATATGGAATTATGGGTACATGGGCACGCGAACATGGCAGGATGGGCACATGGGCACAACACATGAACACATAACGGGCAGGAACAAAAGCTTTTCTTACGAGCTCGGGCAGCCGTGCAGCACAGAGAGCGGCTGGCTCTCCCCATAGCTGATGTTGCACTTGGAGAACTCCAGCTTCACCCTCTCCCTGTCGGTGCCCTGGTGGGGGGAGCGGGAGGAGAGGAGGGAGGACAGAGAGGGGGAGTGGGGGAGAGTAGGCACAAGGCCTAGAACAGTACAGAAACGCTGATGATCACAAGGTTGAAGCGCCTTGGTGAACACATCAGCAGTGTTGGCCCGAGTGGCCACGTACGAAAGACGAAGCTGACCACGCTGCTGCAGCTCTCGAGCAAGGAAGTAGCGCAGAGCTATGTGCTTCGTTCTGTGCTCCAGTCTGTGCTCCTGACACAAGGCAAGGGCGGCCTTGTTGTCGACGTACAGCACTGGAGGAGAACGAGGCCGCTCTCCCAGGTCGGTCAGCAGGTAGGTGAGCCAGCGAAGCTCCTGGGCAGCCATGGCTGTGGCGTAGATCTCAGCCTCACAACTGGAGCTGAGAACAGAGGAAGAGCGTGTAGAACGCCAGGAAACAGAACCAGAGCCAAGGCTGAAGGTGTAACCCTGAGACGACCGCTGCGTAGCCTGGTCGTCAGCCCAAGAAGCGTCTGAGTGTCCAGTGAGGACAACGTCGCGCCGTCCTCCAAGCACAAGCCCCATGCCCGACGTACTGCACAAGTAGCGCAACACCCTCTTAGCTGCATCCATATGCTCCTTCCGGTGACGGCCAGGAGCGACATAGCGTGCTAGGATGCTAAGAGGGTAGGCTAGGTCAGGTCGAGTGTAGGTCATCAGGTACATGAGGCAGCCCACAAGCTCTGGATACGGGCCACTCGGCTCTACGGACTCATCCGAAGGCAGAGCTAAGAGCAAGTGACCGGTAGGCAGAGGAGTGGGCTGAGGCGAGGAGTACATGAAGCGGAAGCGCTGAAGGACCTGCTGCACTATGTGTGACTGAGTCAAGGTGATGGTGCACTGTGCTCTGTCCCGGGTGATCCGCAAGCCAAGATAGCTTGTCAGCTCACCCAGGTCTGTGCACGTGTGTCTCTTCTGCAGCTCTGACTTCACGTGGGCGAGTGCCTCAGTGTCAGCAGTAGCAAAGACCAAGTCGTCTACGTACACGAGAATGTAGAACGGCGGCAGAGTGGTGTCAGTGCGTAGAAACAGCGACGGGTCAGCAGTAGAAGGAGCAAACCCAAGAGCAGCAAGAGTAGTCCTCAGTGTGTCGTGCCACTCACGAGGTGCCTGGCGGAGACCGTAGACTGGCCGCCGGAGGCTCCACTGGGTACCAGGAGGGAACGACCCAGTGAAGCCAGGTGGGCGGCGCAGCCAGATCTCCTCGTGCAGGGTGCCCTGTAGGAACGCAGTGCTGAAGTCAAGGCAGTGGAGTTCGTAGTCACGCTGAGCAGCGACGTGCAGCAGAACCCGAAGAGTGGTCAACTTCGGGGTCGGGGAGAAGGTCTGGAAGAAGTCAACTCCCTCTCGCTGACTGAAGCCTCGTGCAACGTAACGCGCCTTGAAGACAGGCGGAGAACCCAACGGCCGCTTCACCCTGAAAATCCACATGCCACTGACGATGTTCGCCCCAGGTGGGGGAACCTCGTCGACGTAGGTGCCTGTGGACTTCCAGGAAGCCATCTCTGCGTCCATGGCTGTCTGCCACTGAGAGAAGTAGAGACCCTCCATCGCCTCTGCGTAGGAGCGTGGGGTCGGGATGTCTGGTGCATCCGGGTCTCCCTCATGGGCAATCAGCATGGACACGAGATGAGGTAATGCAGCAGCAAAGCACTCAAACTCCTCCTGTCTGTCCTCAAGGACGTCCGTGCCAAGAGCACACTCACCCCCGACGGACGGAGGACAGACAGACTCAGACTCAGCAACAAGGCTAGCGGCGTAGTCTAGACGACAGGCGGCAGCAAAGTCAACAAGCTCAGCGACTAGAGCAGACGCAGCAGAGGACTCAAAGGTAGGGTCAGTGACAACAGTGGCAAGGAGACGCGCGACAGTAGGACTGGCAGCACGAGTAAGGTCTGACGGCGGGTCAGCAACAACAGGAAGAGAGGACGCAGGAGGAGACGGCAGAGGGACGCGCTGTGGAGCAGTGGAAGGACGCAGGGTCATATAGTGAGTGCCAAGGACAGGAGGAGGACGCTCACGCGGAGCACGACGACCAGCGCGGACAGCCCGGACAGGCGACTCTGGACGCGACACAGGCGACTCTGGACTAGACTCAGGCGACGGAGGACGAGACTCAGGCTCACGACGCTCAGTAAGACTACCCGTCGGCGCAGTGTAAGGAGAAGGACCAGGCAGCGGAGAGGCAGGCTGTAACTGTGACTGTGACTGGACAGGCGGTGGACTCAGTAGGGGAGGAGTAGGACCAGTAGAGGGCGGGAGACCAAGAACCTGCTGAAGGAGCGGAACGTAGTACGGCCGCGGCCGCTCAGCAACTCCAGCTCCAACCCCCTCAGCAGCTCCTGTCCCAGCAGCTCCAGTACCTCCAGTACGAGCACCTCCAGGACCAGCGGCTCTAGTAGCTCCAGCACTAGCAGCACCTCCAGCAGCACCGCCAGTAGCAGCAGTGCCTCCAGCAGCTCCAGCACCAGCAGCACCTCCAGCAGCTCCAACACCGGCAGCACCTCCAGTAGCTCCAGCAGTACCAGCACCAGCAGCACCAGTACCAGCAGCACCTCAAGCAGCTCCAGAAGCACCTCCAGCAGCTCCAGCAGCACCAGCAGCACCACCAGCAGCAGCAGCACCTCCAGCAGCTCCAGCAGCACCAGCACCAGCAGCACCTCCAGCAGCGCCAGCAGGACCAGCACCTCCAGCAGCTCCAGCACCAGCAGCACCTCCAGCTCCAGGGTCCTCGACACTAGGAGCGCCACTCCGGAGACTGCAGCGACGAGCGTACCACTCTCGAAGCCGCTGGGGAGAGGGCAGCTCCCGCCTAGGAGGGGAAGCACGAGCACGAGCTCCAGCAGTACCTCTCCTGAGGCTGCAGTACTGTAAGTACCACTCACGCAGCTGCTGTGAGGAAAGAGCGCCTCCAGGTGAAGCACTCTCAGTCGCAGCACCCTCAGGCTCAGCACCCCCAGACTCAGCACCCCCAGACTCAGCACCCGCAGGCTCCGCACCCCCAGACTCAGCACCCGCAGGCTCCGCACCCCCAGACTCCGCAACTCCAGGCTCCGCACCCCCAGGCTCCGCACGCTCAGGCTCAGCACCCCGAGCAGGACGAGAGTCGACAGCTACCTCGACAGGCTCAACCGGGTCTACCTGGGACACACCTGAGGGAGCGGCACCCTGAGGGGGGATGGGGTCTACCACAGCAGTACCTGGCGCGAGGAAGAGAGGCGGGGGGGGGAGCGGGGCAGTGCGGTAGGGGAAGAGGCGGTAGTAGGGCACCGACTCGTCAAAAGTGACGTCCTGAGAGGGCAGGACACGGCGCGAGGTGGCGTGGTAAAACTGCCAACCAGACGCGTCCGGGACAAAGCCAAGGAAGACACAAGGAACAGCACGGGAGGAGAGCTTGTCCGCGGACGTATCGCGGACAAAAGCTCGAGATCCCCAGACCCGGAAACGCGACGCATCGCCAACCTCCCCCGTCCACAGAAGTGTGGGCGAGGTCTCCGGCAAGGAGACACGGGGCCAGAGGTTGAGCTGATGCGCAGCGTACCGGACCGCAAACGGCCACAGAAAGTGGGGGGCAGCCGCATGGATCAAGGAGGTACGAGCGACCTCCATGACCAAGCCAATGCGGCGCTCAGCAACCCCATTCTGCTGTGGAGAGGCCGGAAGCGTGAACGACTGGCGGATACCGTGCTCCGCACAGTAGGCCGCCAAGAGGTCGGAGGAGAACTCGCCACCTCTGTCTGAGTGCAGACGCAGGACAGGAAATTCCGAGTGGAACCGCTCGCTGAGCTGGAGACGAGAAGCGCGGATCCAAGGGATCAAAACATCAGGGACCTCACCCTTGGTGTGCAAGGGGAAGACCGTGGTGTAGCACGAGTAGTCGTCAACAACGATCAGGAAGTACCTCTCCTGACCCTGTCCACGGACGCGGGCTGGGCCCCACACGTCCATGTGGAGCGTCTGCAAGGGAGCAGTCGTCGGGGGAAACGAGGAGGAGTGGGGAGCGGCGCGCTGCCGCCCCTCGACACAAGGAAGACAAGGAGGAGCAGGCGAGGGTGGGAGGGGAGGGAGTACCCGGGGAAGACCAGAGACAAGGTACCGTTTGTGCATGGCACGAAGGCGCTGCACTGACGGGTGACCAAGACGGTGGTGCCAAAGGACAGTCTCGTGCGCCAGAGAGCGACACGAGCAGGGGGCAGACAGCTGACCTGACGCAGACGCAGACGCAGCTACCTGAGGGGACTCAGTGGTCAGTGTGTACAGGTCCGACCCCGGCTGCCTAGTGAAGGTAGCCAGGTGACGGCCCGTCCGAGCACACGTGCAGTGTGTCACGCGCTCGTAGGCAGGGGTGAACTGCCACCAAGTTCGTAGAGAACGAGGGGAGGTGGAGACCGGACAGTGTGCCCGACGGAACCGCAGGACAAGGAAGGACAGTGGAGGAGGTCGCAATGACCGGACCCCCAGAGGGGTCAGCAAGGGAGACAGCAACTGGCCGGGCAAGCTGCTCAAGGGCAGTGCGGTCACAAAAGAAACAGCGAGAAGCTCCTGAGTCTAGAGTGAAGGTGTGCAGTGCCTCAGTGGACTCAGTACCAGGGGGCGCAGACTCACTAGCACCTAGAGCAGCAGCCTCACCAGCACCTGGGGCAGCAGACACGCGAGCACCTAGAGCAGTAGCCTCACCAGCACCTGGGGCAGCAGACAAGCAAGCACCTAGAGCGGCAGCCTCACTAGTCCGAATGCCCGGGTCGGGCGGAACACGCAGGTACTGATCACCCTCTCCACTAGTAGACAACACATACATGGCAGTGAGAATAGCATCAAAGTCAAGAGCATAGATATCAATGTTCTTCTTCATCAGGTCAGCCCAGCGGGGCAGCTCAGTGGCAGCAGGGAACTGAGTGCGCCAAGCGTCGTCAAGGCGGGAGAAGCAGCGCTGCGTGGTGTGCGCCCTCCCACACGTCTGGCCAGTGCGGTCACCAGTGCGGATGACGTACGTACAGCTAAGGCCACCCCCCCCCCCCGTGCTGAGAGTACCACTCACGAAGCTCCTGGGACGACGGAGTGTGCTGCTGGCTCTGGCCACCGCCAGCGCCTCCACGACCACCACCGCCGCCGCCACCACCTCGACCACCACCGCCTCTGCCGCCTCCGCGTCCACCGCCTCCCCAACCACCGCCTCCACCCCGGCCACCTCCTCCGCTGCTGCCGCCTCCACCCCCACCGCTGCCACTAGCCCCTCCAGTCCCGCCACCACTCCCACCACCGCCACCGCCCCCACCACCACCTCCCCCGCCGTCACCTCCACCTCCCTTGCCCCCTTTGCCCTTGCCGCTACGGCGCCAGCTCGGAGCGGACGCAGTCCCGACCTGCTCAGTACCAACCAGGTCGACAGCAGCAGCAGAGGCGACAGAGGGGAGAAGGGGGGAAGGGGAACACCCCTCGAAGAAAGGGGTGCGGGGGTCGCCACGAGAGGCAGCGACAGCAACTATGCTAGTCTCGGCTGCAAGCAGTTCCTTCTCGAGCAGGTCTATGGTGAGCTCAGTGGGGGAGCGAGCGAGGAAGTGGTCCCTGACCGCACGAAGAGAGTCAAGGAGACGGGTGACAAGGTGGTAGAGAGTGAGCCAGAGCGGGGGGGGGTGGGTGGCAAGAAACTCAGTGGGCATAGCGGCACGGAAGCGAGCCTCACTAGTGCGGAGGTGCGTGGTGAGGTCAGCGACTGTGGCGAAAGCGGACAGGTCTGGGAACAGGTAGGGGAGCGAGAGACGGCCTAGCGCAGCAGAGGCAGGTGAGGAGTAGCGTGCAACTACAGCAGTGTACAGTGCCTGCGCAGTTTTGTGCTGGCCAAAGTGCTCGCGCTCATCTACCGGCAGGGAGTTGCGAATAGCAAAGCGAGCGTGGGCGTCACGAGTCTGCCACTGTGAACGGGCAGTACTGTCAGCTGTAGCAGCAGGGGCAGCAGCATTGCCTAGCGCGTGATCGTACAGCGAGATATCCTCCTTGGCAGTGAGCTGGAGGAACAGGTGCAAGTCATCGAGCCAGGTCTCAAACTTCAGTGGGCGGCCCTCAGCATCGAAAGCTAGAACAGCAGGGCTAGCCATAGTTGCAGTAAGAGCAGTAGTAACAGCAGTCGAAACCCTAAAAGCAGCAGGCAGCGCGACTCAGGTAGGGCGGCTCGGTCCAGAGAGGGCTGCTCAGTACGGGGAGGGCGGCGCGGCTCGGTTCGGGCTGGGCGGCTCGGTTCGGGCGGCTCGGTTCTGGCGGGGCCGTGGCTGTCGCGTGCGGGGCTGCTGGGGCGGCAGCGCGTGGGGTCGACGGGGCTGCTTAGGGGGGGCGCGCACGGGGTCGACGGGGCCGACGGGGCCGCTAGGTGGAGCGCGCGCGCGGGGTCGACGGGGCCGACGGGGCCTCTAAGGGGCTGCGCGCGGGGTCGACGGGGCCGTGAGGTGGGCCGCTAAGGGGCGGCGCATGGGGTCGACGGGGCCGACGGGGCCGCTAAGGGGGGGCGCGCACGGTGTCGACGGGGCCGACGGGGCCGCTAGGTGGGGCGCGCGCGGGGTCGACGGGGCCGACGGGGCCTCTAAGGGGCTGCGCGCGGGGTCGACGGGGCCGACGGGGCCTCTAAGGGGCTGCGCGCGGGGTCGACGCGGCCGTGAGGGGGGCCTCTAAGGGGCGGCGCGCGGGTTGCTAAGGGGCGGGTCGCGGGTCGCGGGGCCTTACGGGGTCGTTAAAGAGGGGCGCACGAGGGCGCTGGGGGAGGCGCTCGAGGGCGCTCCGACAGTAGGGCGCACGAGGGCGCTAGTAGTCAGTCAGCAGTGGTGGGCCCTAAGAAAAATCGGTCCTAGCGGAGGACCTGCTCTGAAACCATGTCAGAAAGAACGAAACAGGAATGATTGACTAGCAACAGAATGAGAGTACAAGTATGACAAACCTAAAGTTGTGTACCCCCTAGAGGCTAACCCACAATAGCCTACACAAGTATAACACATACAATGTTTGACACACTCTCGGCGATAGCTGCGTATGTCGGGTTCGGCTCCAGTGTCTCACGGCGCGGAGTCCTTTCGTCAAGTTGTTCTTCTGGTGAGTAGTGCGGTGGTGATTCAGTGGTGCATGAATCCGACAGTTTTGCCATGCAGCTGACGATGTTCCTTGCTCCTTGTGCAGGTTGTCCCGTCGGTGTCGTTTGAGCTTGAGCGGTGGGGTTCGCTTGTATTGAAGTGACTTGGCTGCTTGAAGGTCGAAGCTGTCGCTGTGGAGGCGTTGACTGTTGTCGATTCGGGCAGTGCGTGCGCGGGTGCCCTGACGTCTTGTAGATGTGGCAGAACGGAGGTACGGGTTTTGGTTGTTGTTGTTTGTTGTTGTTGTAGCGTCGCTGAGTATGGAATGCGAATTCCGGTGTTGATGTCTTCTTCTTGTGTCGTTCTTCTTGCAGGTCCATGTCTTGCTGCTCGGCGTGGATTTCGGCGCAGAGCGCTGCTTCGGAGATTCTTCCGTGGGCTCGGAGAATGGCCTTTGTTGCGCGCCATTGAGGACCGAGGCCGCCAATGATAACTGTCACGAAGGCGTCTTCAGAAATCGACCCTCCGCATCGAAGAAGCTTGTCGCGCAACTCGCGACATCGGCTGATATACGCCATTCCTTTCTCGCCTGCTTTCATTTCGACCGTTGTCAGTTGCGCCAATAACCGACTTTGATTTACGCTGTCTGTTGCTTGATACAGGCTCTTCAAGTGGTTGTACGCGAGCTCCGCGGAGTTGCCGTAACCCCGGTAAGACCGTATATTCTGCTGTTGGGACGGGGTGATGTTTCTCAGTAGAGTCGTGTACGCCATCATCGACTGATAGGTGTACTGCTGCTTCTCATATTGTGTGCCGTTCGTTGGGTATGGCAGGGACCCGTCGAAGAAGCCAAGTATCTGCGCGCCTTCCATCATTAACTCGAATTCAAACGACCAGGTGAAGAAATCCTTTCCATCGAAAGGTCTTGACGTCTGCATCTTTAGAACGTGCGCGAACTGCGACTGAACTTGTAATGCGTCCAGTGGCTTTTCTTGTCCAGGTGAAGGCTGCGGGTGTGGCATAAAACTGATGGACCCGCGCTCGTACGGAGCAAAGGTAGGCTGCTGTTGATTTCCTCGTGCGTATGATGAGCCGTCGAGGCTCATGGGAGTTGCTCCGTTGTTATTGTTGCTGTTGTTCGACTGCGCAGGTGCCGACTGTTGGTGTTGCTCGTAGAAGGACATGAAGGAGAAAAACTTCTCCATCATGCTCTGATCGAAGCCTGCAGGTTGATTTGCAGGAGTCTCGGTGGATGTTGCCCTGGGTCTTGTTGCCGTACCCTCCTCTGTCTGTAGACCAGAGGCAGGAGGTGGAGTAGGAGTAGTGCCTTGGGAGCCGTTGGAGGAGCTCCTTTCCTTTTGTGTAGCCATGCTTGTTGATGCTGTCGGTATTTTAATAGAAGTCGAATTCTCCCTGACTGCTCTCATACCATGTTGGGCTGAGAAAAGCCCTTAGGATCTTTGCAGGGATGAACTCTGAGTGGGACTGATGTAATAGCGGAAGCGTTTTAATGAAGTATTGTGAACCACCTTGCGCTAGTATGTGAGGGCAAAGTAGATTGATTAAGGCAAAGAGATACAAGATTATATAAGAGTACAAGGAATACGAAAGTATACGGTTGCAACTACTTTACTGTTTGCTGTTGCGGTTCGATACAGTGACGACTCGGGCAACTGCTCTGTAGCGAGTCAGTTGTGTGTCCTTGCTGTCGCGCTGTACTCTGTCAGGTCAAAGGTCGCTGACCTTTGACTTTCGCGTAACCTCCAGCGGTTACTTCAACCTCTGAGGGTTGACTCGCTGGTGCCTCGATATGCTTTGCTTCGCTTGTGTCTTGGTGTTTCGACACGACAGAGGCGCTTAAGACTGATTGTTTCCAACAGAACCAAGTACATAGCCTACCCAGCAGAATATACCATGTGATAGCTTAGCACTACAAGACCAGAGCAAGAGGCATGCTCAAGCAGCCGCAGCTATCAACCCAACCCAAACCAAGCTACAAAATAAATAGGTTCACTTAACTATCGCCAACCCCTCAACAGCTAGAGTAGGATTGCAATCCCAACAACCGCAACGGTTACCAGCAGAGCAGCACGGGACCCGTGCAGTGCTGCTGCTCCTGCTGCTCCTTTACCACCCCCAGCATTGCTGCTCCCAGAGCCAGCACCGGTATCAGTGCCGGTGGTGGTGGCGGCGGTGGCGGCGGTGGCAGTGGCGGTGGTAGTGCCGGTGGTGGTGGTGGTGTTGGTGGTGCAATTGGTGGGTGGTGCAAGTGGGTCTGGGGTGGTGTTGATGGGTACTGAGATGCTCTCTGAGGGAATGTCGGCGAGTGAAAGCGCGGTGCTGTGGAGCATATGGGTCCATGGGAACATGAGAATATGGGAACATGGGAACATGGGAACATGGGAACATGGGAACATGGGATCATGGGAACATGGGATCATGGGAACACGAGAATATGGAATTATGGGTACATGGGCACGCGAACATGGCAGGATGGGCACATGGGCACAACACATGAACACATAACGGGCAGGAACAAAAGCTTTTCTTACGAGCTCGGGCAGCCGTGCAGCACAGAGAGCGGCTGGCTCTCCCCATAGCTGATGTTGCACTTGGAGAACCCCAGCTTCACCCTCTCCCTGTCGGTGCCCTGGTGGGGGGAGCGGGAGGAGAGGAGGGAGGACAGAGAGGGGGAGTGGGTGGAAAGGAGGGGGGGAAGAGAGAGGGATGGCAGGTGTGGGGAGGGGAGGAGAAGGGGGCATGGGGTGAGTACGGGGTTCACATAAGAGCAGATACACAAGGTGTGGTTTGGTATTCCTTATCATGCTCCGAAGCTAGTGAGAACCACTGAGCCTAATGAGAGCATGTCGAGCCTAGCGAGAACGACCCGAGCCTAGCGAGAACGCAACGAGTCTAGCGAGAACGCACCGAGCCTAGCAAGAACGCACCGAGCCTTTCAAAACCCCACCGAGCCTAGCAAGAACGTACCGGGCCACAGACGGCAAAACTCATGAGGTTGGGGCTGGCAGGGTCGAGGTTGAGCTTTCCCTCGGATATGTCGGCACACATGGCGACACATGAACGCATCTCTGGTGATACAACACACAGTGGTGGCACAGATAGGGGTGGTGTGCACAGGGGGGTGGTGCACAGGGGGTTAGTGCACAGGGGTCAATCAATTCAATTGCAAGGTCGAGGTTGAGCTTTCCCTCGGATATGTCGGCACACATGGCGACACATGAGCGCATCTCTGCAGTTACAACACGCAGGAGTCAGGGTGAGAGGTATGGTTGTCAAAATATGTTATTATATATTTTATATAACTGCTTGTAGTTTAGAACAGTGTAGTTATATTGTTTCTTGTTTGCTGGTGCGCTCTTGTTTCTTGCCTATATCTTGTACTCAACTCTTTTAATGAAACCCCTTTTAGCCAACTCTCGCTCCCAATCTTCTCAACATGTTCCTTACCTCTTGTTCTACCCTAGTTCCTAAGTCCTAGTTAATCTCGTTATATGACAATGGTGTTGCGACAGGGGGAGAGGCATGGTGTTGCGACAGGGGGAGAGGCATGGCATTGAGTGTTCCTTGGGAAAGAAAGAGCAGATAGGCTGAGAGAGAGGGATACACGAGGATTCACAGAGGGTATGCAGAGCACATCCAAAAAGGGCACTACACAAATGGCTTCACCTCGCCTCTTCTTATCTGTGAAAGGGCCTCACCTCGCTTGTCTGTATGTGACAGACGGCCTCACCTCGCTTGTCAGTATGTGCCAGACGGCCTCACCTCGCTTGTCTGTATATGCTGGGTAGTAGACAAGGAAGCTGATGCACATCTCCTCGTTGCTGGCCTCGCCCCCCATTGTCACCTGTGGGGTGGCATGGCATGGCATGGCATGGGGTGGAATGGCATGGGCGTGAGATGGCAAGGGGTGCGTGAGATGGCATGGCATGTGACGGTGTGGGATGGGATGGGATGGTAAGGCACGGAAAAGGGCAGGAGCCTAAAGTAAAAGTATATGAGCTGCCGGAAAACAATGCAAGTCACCGCTGTTCACCGCCCACCCCGCTCACTACCACTCACCACCGCACACCACCATGGCTTCCATTGGAGCGCGACGTGGAGTCCCCACTCACACTTGGTGCGCAGCTCATCCCCCCGCTGTAGCTCAAGGGCGGCTGTATGTGGAGCACCGCTTTTCACCGGTCACCAGCCCTCATTACCACTCACTACCACTCACCACCGCACACCACCATGGCTTACATTGGAGCGGGAGGTGGAGTCCCACACACACTTGGTGCGCAGCTCATCCCCCCGCTGTAGCTCAAGGGCGGCTGTATGTGGAGCACTGCTTTTCACCGGTCACCAGCCCTCATTACCACTCACTACCACTCACCACCGCACACCACCATGGCTTACATTGGAGCGGGAGGTGGAGTCCCACACACACTTGGTGCGCAGCTCATCCCCCGGCTGTAGCTCAAAGGGCGGCTGCACGTTGATCATCTGCTGTGATGCGAAGTCACTGGGAGGGGGGGTGGTGGTGGGCGGGGGGAGGGGGAGGGAGGGGGGAACGAGCAAGGGAAGTCACTGAGGTGCCTAAAAAAAAGGCCCCCCGGCTGTAGCTCAAAGGGCGGCTGTACGTTGATCATCTGCTGTGATGCGAAGTCACTGGGAGGGGAGGTGGGGGGAAGGGGAGCGCGAGGAAATGATATTGAATTCGCCCCATAAACAGACCCCTGGCAGCAGCTGATAGGGCGGGTGCACATGGATCGTCTGCTGTGGCGCGAAGTCACTGGGAGGGGAAGTGGGGGGGGAACGAGAGAGGAAACGAAATTATCTTATAAGGCGCCTCAAAAATAGAGCTCCTGCTGCAGCTGATAGGGCGGGTGCACATGATCGTCTGCTGTGACGCGAAGTCACTGGGAGGGGGGGGAGAGAGGGGAAGAGGGAGGAGAGGAGCGAGGAAAGGAGAGGGGAAAAATGTCAGAGAAGAAAAGAGAAGATGAGAGACGGAAGGAGAAGAAGGATGGTGTAAGAGAGGATGTGCGACGCAAGGGGGAAAAGATGTGCGACGCGAGGGGGAAAGATGTGTGACGCGAGGGGAAGATGTGTGACGCGGGGGGAAAAGATGTGTGACGCGAGGGGAAAAGATGTGCGACGCAAGGGGAAAAGATGTGTGACGAAAGGGGAAAAGATGTGTGACGCAAGGGGAAAAGATGTGTGACGCAAGGGGAAAAGATGTGTGACGCAAGGGGAAAAGATGTGTGACGCAAGGGGAAAAGATGTGTGACGCAAGGGGAAAAGATGTGTGACGCAAGGGGAGAAGGGCGGAAGGGCACTCACTAGTAGTCGAGGCGAGCGACGGTGGTGACCTTTGCCCCATCCTGATACACATCCGTATACATCTGATGGGGCGGTGAGAGGAGCGGTGAGAAGGGGCCGTGGGGCAAGGGGCGGTCAGAAGGGGTGGTGAGGGGGGTGGTGAGGGGGGTAGTCACAGGGGGGTGTGTGGTAAGGAGAGGAAGCAGGGGGGAGATCGAGGGGTGAATGCATCCCGGTACAGGTGCGTGAACACCTGATGATGAGAGGGGCCGTGGGGCAAGGCAAGGGGCGGGCAGAAGGGGTGGTTGGCTTGGCACCATCTGGGTACACGTCTGGGAACATCTGATGGGGTGGTGTCTCAAAAAAGCGAGCGACGGTGGTGACCTTTGCCCCATCCCGATACACATCAGTATACATCTGATGGGGCGGTGAGAGGGGGCGTGTGGTAAGGGGAGGAAGCAGGGGGGAGATAGACGGGTGAATGCATCCCGGTACAAGTATGTGACCACCTGATGATGAGAGGGGCCGTGGGGCATCGGGTGGTGAGTGGGATGGTCACAGGAGGGTGTGTTTTGAGTTTTCAGACGTCTCAAAGAAGGGGGGAGATGGAGGGGTGAATGCATTCCGGTACAAGTATGTGAACACCTGATGAGAGGGGTGCATATGCAAGCAGGCGGATTTGGGCAAGTGTTACAATAGTGTGCGCAGGTGTTTGAATAGTGTGCGCAGGTTTTACAATGTGTGCGCAGGTGTTACAATGTGTGCGCAGGTGTTACAATGTGTGTGCTTGTGTTACAATGTGTGCGCAGGTGTTACAATGTGTGTGCAGGTGTTACAATGTGTGTGCAGGTGTTACAATGTGTGCGCAGGTGTTACAATGTGTGTGCAGGTGTTACAATGTGTGCGCAGGTGTTACAATGTGTGCGCAGGTGTTACAATGTGTGTGCAGGTGTTACAATGTGTGCGCAGGTGTTACAATGTGTGCGCAGGTGTTACAATGTGTGCGCAGGTGTTACAATGTGTGCGCAGGTGTTACAATGTGTGCGCAGGTGTTACAATGTGTGCGCAGGTGTTACAATGTGTGCGCAGGTGTTACAATGTGTGCGCAGGTGTTACAATGTGTGCGCAGGTGTTACAATGTGTGCGCAGGTGTTACAATGTGTGCGCAGGTGTTACAATGTGTGCGCAGGTGTTACAATGTGTGCGCAGGTGTTACAATGTGTGCGCAGGTGTTACAATGTGTGCGCAGGTGTTACAATGTGTGCGCAGGTGTTACAATGTGTGCGCAGGTGTTACAATGTGTGCGCAGGTGTTACAATGTGTGCGCAGGTGTTACAATGTGTGCGCAGGTGTTACAATGTGTGCGCAGGTGTTACAATGTGTGCGCAGGTGTTACAATGTGTGCGCAGGTGTTACAATGTGTGCGCAGGTGTTACAATGTGTGCGCAGGTGTTACAATGTGTGCGCAGGTGTTACAATGTGTGCGCAGGTGTTACAATGTGTGCGCAGGTGTTACAATGTGTGCGCAGGTGTTACAATGTGTGCGCAGGTGTTACAATGTGTGCGCAGGTGTTACAATGTGTGCGCAGGTGTTACAATGTGTGCGCAGGTGTTACAATGTGTGCGCAGGTGTTACAATGTGTGCGCAGGTGTTACAATGTGTGCGCAGGTGTTACAATGTGTGCGCAGGTGTTACAATGTGTGCGCAGGTGTTACAATGTGTGCGCAGGTGTTACAATGTGTGCGCAGGTGTTACAATGTGTGCGCAGGTGTTACAATGTGTGCGCAGGTGTTACAATGTGTGCGCAGGTGTTACAATGTGTGCGCAGGTGTTACAATGTGTGCGCAGGTGTTACAATGTGTGCGCAGGTGTTACAATGTGTGCGCAGGTGTTACAATGTGTGCGCAGGTGTTACAATGTGTGCGCAGGTGTTACAATGTGTGCGCAGGTGTTACAATGTGTGCGCAGGTGTTACAATGTGTGCGCAGGTGTTACAATGTGTGCGCAGGTGTTACAATGTGTGTGCCGGTACCTGGCGGCCCAGAGCGTGTTGGTGCAGAGCAGCAGCAACGATGTTCACCGACTCGTTCTTGAACACCGACTTGGTGCACCGACCTGGGCAGATGTTCTCCTGTGTCCATGAGGGCTGCAGAGAGAATGAAGGCAAAAAAGGGATGAGAGGGAGGGGATGAGAGGGAGGGGATGACAGGGAGGGGATGAGAAGAGGGGTGAACACCCCCTTGGTGCATCGCCCGGGGCAGATGTTCTCCTGTGTCCATGACGGCTGCAGGGGGCGGGAGGATGAGGGGGAGATCAAAGTGAAAAGAGCGTGAGGGGAGGTGGAAGCAGGCAGGGATGGTCACCGCCTTGGTGCCTCGCCGGGGGCATGGCACATGTATTCCTGCGTCCATAATGGCTGCAGAAAGGGCGATGGGGAAATGAGAGTCGAGAGAGAAGAGGGGATGGGATTAGGGATAAGGGTGGAACACTGCTTTGGTGCATCGCCCAGGACACACATTCTCCTCCGCCCATGTCGGCTACCTGTCCGGGTGCTACCTGTCCGGGTGCTACCTGTCCGGGTGCTACCTGTCCGGGTGTTACCTGTCCGGGTGTTACCTCTCCGGGTGCTACCTGTCCGGGTGTTACCTGTCCTGGTGTTACCTCTCCAGGTGTTACCTGGCCTGTCCGGGCCTGTCTGGGTGTTACCTGGCCGGGTGGGATTATCATGATGCCCGCATCGTGATACCATTGACATTCCAGGTGTTACCTGGCCGGGTGGGTGTTACCTGGCCGGGTGGGATCTGCAGCAGCAGCCCGTAGTAGACAGGGCCAGCCATCATGATCCCATTGACCTTCCATTGAAGCGGCTTTGGTGTAGCAGAAAAGAGCGATGCCTGTGCAGGTGTTACCTGGCCAGGTGGGATCTGCAGCAGCAACCCATAGTAGACAGGCCCGGCCATCATGATCCCCGCATCGTGCTTGCCCGGGGTAGAAGTTTCCAGGAACATGCCGCTGTTGTCCACGATGTCAGTGCGGCCGTCAGGGTTGGTGTAGTGAATCTGAGAGGCACAGGAAAAGAGGGGGAAGAGGGGGGGGTGAGGCAGGGGGATGAGGTGGGAGAGTGGGGGTAAGGGGGAGATTGGGGAGTTGGGGTAGACGGGGGAGAGGGGGGAGCGAGGGGGAGACAGGGGAGAGCAGTGTCAAAGTGGTTTGGGGGCACGGCACCGCACAGCACCGCACCCCACCCACCTGCAGCACGAACTTGGTGTAGTATCCCAGGCCAATGGGAAAGCCAACGTCGCAGGGGAATGAGTAGGGGCGTGCACCCAGCCCCCACACTGCTAGGCACTGCACCGCACATCACCGCACAGCACCGCACAGCATCGCACATCACCGCCAGGCACCGCACTCACCTGCAGCACGAACTTGGTGTAGTATCCCGGGCCGATGGGAAAGCCAACGTCGCGGGGGAAGGAGTACGGACGCGCCCCCAACCCCCACACCCCCACTGTGTGGCCCTGGCAGGGCGCTGACTCGTGCATGCACTCATACGTCCCCTGTGTGGCCGGCACGTCTTTATAGTCCTCCCTGGTATGGGTAAAAGAGGAGGGGGAGGGAGGGGATGAAGTAGGGGGAACGGTGCACTCGCGGCAGGGCGTTGACTCGTGCATGCACTCGTACGTCCCCTGTGTCGCCGGCACATCCTTATAGTCCTCCCTGGTATGGGTAAAAGAGGAGAGAGAGGGGGGGAAGGGGGAGAGCGGAACCGGGGGAGGGGGGTGAATCGGGATAGGTGGGGGAAAGCGAGGCACAGTGTCTCGTGCATGCACACATATACACCCCCTATGTGGCCGGCACGTCCTTACACTCCTCCCTGCCATGCGTGAAAAGAAGGGGGGGGGGGGGGGGAGAGAGGGGGGAGAAGAGGCGAGGCGGAATGGAAGGCGGGAAGCGGCAGGGAGGATGGGGGGTTGGCTGAAGCGGGAAGGAGTAAGGGCAGCTATATTGGTGCGACTTTTGAGAATTCTCAAAAGTCGCACCAATATAGCGCGCCCCCAGCCCCCACATCCCCACTGTGTGGCCCTGGCAGGGCGTTGACTCGTGCATGCACTCGTACACGGTACACCCCTTTTGTGGCTGGCACACCCTTGTATTCCTTCCTCCCTGTCAAGGGTAAACGAGGAGTGGGGAGAGGACGGGAGAGGGAAAGGGGAAGAGCGGGAAGGGAAGGATAGGGAGTGGTGGGGACGTGGGGAATCAAGGAGTAGGACCAGGGGGGGTGGGGAGGTGACTTTTGAGTTTACTCAAAAGTCATCTGACCGGAGGGGGGTGGGTGGGGGGACACGTGATGAGTGCGGGTGGGGAGAGGGAGATGTGGTGGCGGGGAGAGAGAGGGGGGACGTACGGGGGGCAGCGGAAGAGCAGCAAAAGTCGTTGGGGGGGATAAGGGGGGAAGAAAGGGGGGGGGGAGAGGGGCGGGGACGGGAGGGAGGGGACGTACTGGGGGCAGCCGAAGAGCAGCGCGTGGTGCAGCACGGAGGGGAGCGACGAGTTCATGTGCACTCCGAACCGCGTGATGTGACGCTTGGCGGTGAGTGGCAGGTCGAATGTCTGCAGGGGGGGGAGGGGGGAGAGGGCGGAGGGAGAGTGGGGAGGGTGAGGAGGGAGAGAAAGAGGACCGAAGGGAGGGGACTCGCATGCCAAGACGCGTGATGTGGCGCTTTGAGGTGAGTGGCAGGTCGAATGTCTGACAGCGGAGGGAAGGGGGGAGAGGGCGGGGCGGACGGAGACGAGGGAGAGGGGGAATAAAGAGGAGCAAATGGAGGAGGGTAAGGGGGAGAAGAAGGAAAAGCAGCGTGGCAGGTCGACCGTCTGCCTATAGAGGAGAGGGAGGGAGAATGAGGAGAGGGAGGGAGAAGGAGGAGAGGGAGGGAGGAAACGGAATTGAGGGAGAGACGAGAAAGGTTAGGCAAGAGAAGAAAGGGAGGAGGAGGAGGAGGAAGGGAGAGGAGGGAGGAGAGCAAGGAAGGAGAGGAGAGGGAAGCAAGAGGAGAGGGATGAGAGGAAGGAGAAGTGGGAGGAGCATGAGAGGGAGGGAGGAGAGGGAAGAGAGGGAGAATGGGAGAAGAGGGAGAAGAGGGAGAAGAGGGAGAAGAGGGAGAAGAGGGAGAAGAGGGAGAAGAGGGAGAAGAGGGAGAAGAGGGAGAAGAGGGAGAAGAGGGAGAAGAGGGAGAAGAGGGAGAAGAGGGAGAAGAGGGAGAAGAGGGAGAAGAGGGTTGACGGACTAAGGGACACACCTTGCACATGTAGGTGGTGTAGTTTTTAGATACACGGTGGTTCACCATTGTCAGGTTGAACCGCCCATTATCGCTCATCACCACGCCCTGCCCCTTCGCCTGCCCGTTCGCCTGCCCGTTCGCCTGCCCCTGGGCATACGCGGCGAGCTTGCCTGCTGACGTGATGGCGGGCCAGCTGGCAGCAGCGGATTGGGCGGTGGTGGTGGGAGGGGTGGTTGGGTCGAGGATGGAGGGGCCAGGCGCGGGCAGCAGGACGAGTGAGGTGGCGCCACGTGTCGCGCTGTGATAGGCGAGCTCGTCGGTTGTGCCTGAAAGTGGGAGATATCATAGGGAGATGCGAGGAGTTGAAAATGAGAAGCAGAGATAACACATACACACACACACAACCCAACCCAACTCCCCCCCCCCCTTCTCCACACACACCCAAGATTTCACTCTCCCTCCCACTCACCCATTTCCCTGAACCTCACAGGCTTTCACCATGCCTTTCCCTCCCCCTCCCCCTCCCCCTCCCCCTCCCCCTCCCCATCCCCTTCCCCTTTCCCCGTCCCCCTCCCCATCCCCGTCCCCCTCCCCATCGTCATCCCCATCCCCATCCCCCCCCCTTCCCACGCACCCATGGCCCAGATAACGAATGACAGCGCGCCAGCTGTGATGGGGCGGTCGTTGCAGTCTCCGGTGTCCAGCTGGCGCCACACGTGCACAGTTGTCCACGTGTCGCCCGTGGATTGGTCGGTAGTCTGGCTGCCGCCCAGCACGCGCCAGTCCTGCTGCTCGTCCAATGCAACGCCTTCCCCCGTCTTGTTGAAGACGAAACGGTCCGTCGCATACACGCGCCCCTCGCGCTCCGCCACCCACGCCACCATTACATCTAGAGTTAGAGAGAGAGAGAGAGAAAAGGTAAAAAAAAGGATTTTTTTAGTCGAGTCAAAGGTCATCTCATCCGGAACCGATCCGTTGCATACACGCGCCCCTCGTGCTCCGCCACCCACGCCACCATTACATCTGAGAGTGACATAGCGATCGCAGAGCGAGAAGCAAAGAGAAAATGACTTCTGAGTCGGACCGATACCTCTTGCTCCGCCAACCACCGCATCTGTGAGTGACACTGTCCCAAAAAGCAAAGAATAAGTAACGTCATTAGCTTATATTGTTCCCACACGCCATGAATCAAAGGAGAACGTCGGTGGTGTTTGTCATTAGAATCAGCGTAGAAAAAAGAGGGAAAAGCAAACAATCAAAACCAACAGAATAGGAGAGAGGGAGAGAGACAAAAATAAACAACTTTGAACCGCGTTAGGGGTCGTCGCGGATAGGGGAAAGACCCAAGTGTTGACTCAGGTAACGAGCGCGGGGCGCGGGAACGAGCGGAGAGAATGCGGAAAAATGCGGACGAGCGGATAGAATGCGAAAAAATGCGGACGAGCGGATAGAACGCGGAAAAATGCGGACGAGCGGATAGAACGCGGAAAAATGCGAACGAACGGGGGGAACGCGCGTGGGGAACGAGCACGGGGAATGAGCGCGAAAAACGGGAGTGGAACGAACCAGAGCCGAACATTCCTCCGGATTCGGAAAGGCCTATTGCGAGCCATCCCGCCGTCTGCGCCCTCGCCGCCATGTGGATGGTCGCGTCGCTCGTGTTGGTGCTCCAATAGAGCTCGAAGCGCGGATCGAGCAGCGCCATGCTGGAGTAGGAGGAGAGCTCTGGCAGGGCAGCCGCGTCAGCGCCGCAGCTAAATGCGCCGCCTTTTGCGGAGAGATGGTTGGACGAAGAGAAGACAATAATGAACGCGAGGAGGAGCGAAAGTTGATTATGATGACTCTGGGCTAAGGCACGCTGCGGCGTGCCGCCGCGAATAACGCCGCCGCCGCTGGACGCCATTCTCGTCAGAAAATGGTCGCTTACGCGCCGCGTGCCTCTGAGAGAGTGGACGCGTGGTTTATCTCCGAGTCGCCGTGGGCTACGACGATTTTTTCAGGCGCCTCAAAATCGTACTACCGACGGCGGCGCGGCTGTTACGGACGAGAAAGATGCCTCAGATGTGTGGGCGAGGGATGGGGGAGATAAGTTTGCACTGAATGTGTTTTATGTTTGGCTGAGCTCCAGGGTGTCGGTGCTTGAGATTCGAGGGGGGTTGGTTTGAGTGTACGTAACATCATCCCCGGACCGGAATGGTGGATGAAATGTGCAACCCATAACGGAGCTGGTGGCGACGCGGACCAAACAAGCCTGCCTGACTAGGGTAGGGTCCCCTTGTACAGTGAATCGTGCGTGGCTTCAGCCGCGATGGCATAAAATTGTTTTCAGCCAGGCCTGTGGGGAGGGTGGCGGATTTGTTGCACATGTCGGTGGAGGAGCTAGTGAGTGACTAGTCGTAGATAGGACGGTGGGTGCAGCCATTGGATAGCGTCCTTGCGGCGCGAACATGACTCGCGTACACTTGTCCTTCTCAGGCCTTGCCTTGCCTTGCCTTGTTGAGCTCTGTTGCATCCTGCGAAGGGTTTACTTTTGGTGCCCGCGGTCAGCTGGCGGTTTCTTTATCTTAGAGCGGGGTACACCTGGCGTATATTAAAGGATCACTTAGCTGAGATCACCGTCACCCCAAACGTAGGATCATTGGTAGCAAAACAACAAATTTTGTGGGCACATTACGATCCTCGTTGATGTACCAATTCCACTTTTGCATTGGTGATCCTCTGCGACCAGGCGACATCGCAACGAGTCACGAACGTTGATACTTCGCGTGCATATGTTGGCCGTGTAATAAACTGAGACGAAACAACCTCATTGGTGAGATGTTCATTTTCGAAATGTTTTGATTTGATGCGACCTCGTTTCAGATGTACGACCTGATTGCGAAAGGAAAGTTTTTCGTCAACAAGGATCACCCTGACTTTGGTACAGAGTTGCAAAGATCACCAAGAGATTGGCAGTCACGATGTTTCTACGGACATCACAAAAATTGTGTAGCATTGACTACACATGTTCCCGATCCCACCTCTGTTGGTACACCACCTGACACAGTGATCACTGTACTGTAGTAGGTGGGACACTGTTCTGCAAGGATCGCCGACGTGATCCTCAAAATGCAGCGATCTTTGCTTGGGTGAACCGCGCTCTTAATGATGCTGGGATAATGTCTCAACTCCAATGGCCGTAGTCTGAGGGCGCATTCCTGGCCTCGGGTCTTCCGCTGTTTGGGTTTTCCGAAAATGTGGGTTCCAATCGGAAAATCCGAGTTTCGAGCTTTGGGTTTTGGGATTGGATCCCACAATTTCGGAAGACCCGATCACCCAGAAGACCCGAGGCCAAAAATGCGCCCTGGGTATACTGATGTGTTTTGTACATTACTTCAAGTGGGACAATGTTTGGGGTGGCCCTGTGAGACCTCAACCCATTGTTGGGTGTGTGTGTGTGTGTGTGTGTGTGTGTGTGTGTGTGTGTGTGTGTGTGTGTGTGTGTGTGTGTGTGTGTGTGTGTGTGTGTGTGTGTGTGTGTGTGTGTGTGTGTGTGTGTGTGTGTGTGTGTGTGTGTGTGTGTGTGTTGTGTGTGTGTGTGTGTGTGTGTGTGTGTGTGTGTGTGTGTGTGTGTGTGTGTGTGTGTGTGTGTGTGTGTGTGTGTGTGTGTGTGTGTGTGTGTGTGTGTGTGTGTGTGTGTGTGTGTGTGTGTGTGTGTGTGTGTGTGTGTGTGTGTGTGTGTGTGTGTGTGTGTGTGTGTGTGTGTGTGTGTGTGTGTGTGTGTGTGTGTGTGTGTGTGTGTGTGTGTGTGTGTGTGTGTGTGTGTGTGTGTGTGTGTGTGTGTGTGTGTGTGTGTGTGTGTGTGTGTGTGTGTGTGTGTGTGTGTGTGTGTGTGTGTGTGTGTGTGTGTGTGTGTGTGTGTGTGTGTGTGTGTGTGTGTGTGTGTGTGTGTGTGTGTGTGTGTGTGTGTGTGTGTGTGTGTGTGTGTGTGTGTGTGTGTGTGTGTGTGTGTGTGTGTGTGTGTGTGTGTGTGTGTGTGTGTGTGTGTGTGTGTGTGTGTGTGTGTGTGTGTGTGTGTGTGTTGTGTGTGTGTGTGTGTGTGTGTGTGTGTGTGTGTGTGTGTGTGTGTGTGTGTGTGTGTGTGTGTGTGTGTGTGTGTGTGTGTGTGTGTGTGTGTGTGTGTGTGTGTGTGTGTGTGTGTGTGTGTGTGTGTGTGTGTGTGTGTGTGTGTGTGTGTGTGTGTGTGTGTGTGTGTGTGTGTGTGTGTGTGTGTGTGTGTGTGTGTGTGTGTGTGTGTGTGTGTGTGTGTGTGTGTGTGTGTGTGTGTGTGTGTGTGTGTGTGTGTGTGTGTGTGTGTGTGTGTGTGTGTGTGTGTGTGTGTGTGTGTGTGTGTGTGTGTGTGTGTGTGTGTGTGTGTGTGTGTGTGTGTGTGTGTGTGTGTGTGTGTGTGTGTGTGTGTGTGTGTGTGTGTGTGTGTGTGTGTGTGTGTGTGTGTGTGTGTGTGTGTGTGTGTGTGTGTGTGTGTGTGTGTGTGTGTGTGTGTGTGTGTGTGTGTGTGTGTGTGTGTGTGTGTGTGTGTGTGTGTGTGTGTGTGTGTGTGTGTGTGTGTGTGTGTGTGTGTGTGTGTGTGTGTGTGTGTGTGTGTGTGTGTGTGTGTGTGTGTGTGTGTGTGTGTTTGACTAGGTGCAGTTCTGTGGAGACAAAACCTAATCGCCCAACGTTTTAGTTTTTAAATCCGATTAGTGGTTTTTACAGCACATTTGTTTGCGCTCCCTCCTAATTCCCACGGGCAGTTTGTATCCCTCAATACACATTTGGATATATTTTCTTGGGGAAATAAAATAACCTCAAGGGAATGGCATGTTAACATGGGACGACATCAACCCTAAACACCATGCGGCAAGGTGTTTAGAGGGTTGGTGCGTCTCCTGTTTGCATACCTTTCCTTAGCGAGTTTTTAAGTTTTGCCCCTGTAATGGGGTATTTAGAAAACGAGCTGCCCGTGTGAATTGGACGCGAGCGCAGAGCGATACTGTAAGCTGTCAAAATCACTGCCCAATAGAATCAAAAATTAGAAAACAGGGCGGTTTATCAATTCCTCAGTTTTGTGTCTCTCTTGCCATTTAACCGAACCGAAGAACAGTGCTGCCTGTAACCGACCGAAAAGTGGTGTTGCTTGTGCCACACACACAAAAACAAACAGTTGCAGATATTTTCCACACTACAGTTGCAGGGATTACGATCTAACGATTTTGTCACCCAACACATCCGGTCCAGGTTCGCTGCTTTATAAGCCATGGAGCAACGGGACTTGATTCCCGCATGTTCGCCACCATCGCTAAGTCCATGGGCTAAGCTCGTGCTTGTTATCAGAGAGAAAAGTCGTGAAAAGAAGGATTGGCGTACCACCAGCAAAACACATTATCAGCAGAATCGTTCGGCTGTCAATCAGGTATAAACATTTTGAACAAAGCCACCCATATACCCGGATTTTCAATTTCGGCACCCTCACATGGAAGGGTGGCTCAAAACGAAAAACGAGAACCATGTTCGAGGAGTCACACAAAAACCAACAATTCAATTCGTTGAGCACTTCGAATGCAATTCCAGGGGGGGACAGAAGTTGATGCAATTGTATTTCTTTGTTCGTCCCCTGTTGTATCACATCCCTGCACAATGTTAAGAATTCAAGCCACCACAGATTCATCAAGCTTCACTTACAATGTACCAGATCGTATGACAGGTCAATAGTGTGAACCAGCTCCACTATAGTACTCTCCTCCAAACGAAGTGGTTTGATTGAGTACCAGAAAGCGCATATGTAAATCAAACCCCATTCATCGTACAAATGCTCACGTACTTCCATGAAGATATGCGTATGCCATCATGTGAAACCAAAGTATTTCCCCTGGTATAGGGTATGTAAGGCCAGGCCACATTCGGTCACTTTGAATGGCTTCCTTCCATTCTGCATGACGAATGTTGTCTCTGATTGGGGAACCTTTAGTGAAAACTGGAAACATTACCCTGATCCACACTCAATTTGAGAAGCCCGTTTGTAAGAGTTGGGACACTTCGAAACTCATAAGAGCAACATCTGCTATTAAAGGTGGCACTTAACAAGGGGGTGGGAAGGGGCAACAGGTCGGGTTTCTCAGCATACTTGGTGGGGTCCTTGACGGCCGCGGTGGGGGTAGCTTTGCATAGGGCACAGGCTCGGGTGATCTTCTCAAAGTAGGAACGCAACGGAATGAATGAACTAGGAAAGTGGGTGATACAAATAGCAAACCTAGAAAGTGTTGTACTCTCTACAGTGATACTCACTACAGCCTATTATAACAATGTTCAACATTTGACACACCCCCATAGGCTAAGTGAGGGGCAGAATAGGCCGCCAAGGTCGATGGCGGCTTTGGTGGGCCCATCAAAACTAGGTCCTAGGAGGGACCACACTCTGATATCATGTTAAGTTTAGGTGCTCAAGGTTTAGGACTTAAGCTTAGGATGGCGTGAGATGAGTAGGCAAAAGAGAATTGAACTATCGAGGGGAACAAACAAGTACAAGCAAAGCATGGCAAGAGAGGGTGCACCACCAAGAATGTAACTACACTACACCTATGCAGCAAGCAGGGTATATAAATATAATTTCAACACACCCCCTTAACCTGCTTGCAGTAGGAACTAGTGCAGGAACACACCCCCTTAAGGGGTACACCAAGGAGAAAGAAGTGAGGAGAGAGAGAGAAAGAGGAGAGGAGGTGGGGGGCGGCGGCTAAAGCTACTTACACACTGGCAACTGGAGCAACTGGCTCACGGGCTACTGGGGTAACGGGCTCGTACGCCTGGAGCATCCCGCTCGTACGGCTAGAGCAACTGACCCACGGGCGACTGGAGCAACGGGCTCACTGGCGACTGGCGCTGCTG